GGGGGAAAATAAAAACAGCTCTCTGACCTCTTCCTATAACAGCCGCCTGTAAAACTGTGGTAAATAACGCCCTGCAACAAGGCCAAGCCTCTCCTCTTTCTATCTCTCCGATGCTGCCAGGCCAAATGGTCAGAAACACGTGTGTGTGTGTATTGGGATGTTTAGGTGTGTTGTGTGTGTTTGTGTGTGTTTGTCTGTGTGCGCATATGTGTGTGAAGGTAGTGAGGCTGAGGGTTATGGTGGTGGATGAAGGGCCCATGACAATGTGCCTCAGGATCTCGTCACGGTATCTCTGTGCATTCAAACTGCCATCGATAAAGTGTAATTGTGTTCATTGTCCGTAGCTTATGCCAGCCCATACCATAACCCCACTGCCACTATGGGGCACTCTGTTCACAACGTTGACATCAGCAAACCGCTCTCCCACACAACGCCATACATGCTCTCTACTATCTGCCCGGTACAGTTGATACCGGGATTCGTCCGTGAAGAGCACACTTCTCCAGCATGCCAGTGGCCATCGAAGGTGAGCATTTGCCCACTTATGTCAGTTACGACGCCTAACTGCAGTCAGGTCAAGACCCTCGTGAGGATGACGAGCACGCAGATGAGCTTCCCTGAGACGGTTTCTGAAAATTTTTGTGGAGAAATCTTCGGTTGTGCAAACCCACAGTTTCATCAGCTGTCTGAGTGGCTGGTCTCAGATGATCCCGCAGGTGAAGAAGCCGGATGTGGAGGTCCTGGGCTGCGTTGTTACGCGTGGTGTGCTGTTGTGCTCCCGGGTTGGACGTACTGCCAAATTCTCAAAAACGATATTGGTAGAGAAATGGTGGAGAATGAACATTCAATTCTCTGGCAACAGCTCTGGTGGACATTCCTGCAGTAGGCATGCCAATTGCACACTCCCTCAAAACTTGAGACATCTATGGCATTGTGTTGTGTGACAAAACTGCACATTTTAGAGTGGCCTTTTATTGTCCCCAGCTCAAGTGCACCTGTGTAATGATCATGCTGTTTAATCAGCTTCTTGATATGCCACACTGTCATGTAGATTGATTATCTTGACAAAGGAGAAAATGCTCACTAACAGGGATATAAACATATTTTAGATACTTTTTTTTGTGCATATGGACAATTTCTGGATCTTTTATTTCAGCTCATGAAACAGGGACCAACACTTGACATGTTGCTTTCATATTTTTTGTTCAGTATATATTTTATAAGCTGGTAATCACTGGTCTGACACAAAGAACAACAGAGCAGGCAATATTTATTAGTCATTCGTTTTTTCATCATTTAAATTATTTGGATATCCCGCTTCTGTGCCTTTTGGCACCACAATTGACAATACAGTACACCAAAAATAATTGTATTTATTGTTTACAGTACAGTCCCCACCCCTACCACCAGAGGTCACCCTTATCATTATGCTCTAATCTATTAAATTACAGTACAGTAATGCGTTATCTACTTTCATTAACAAGGTTTTTTTTTTCAACATTCATAAATTACACATAAAGCAGTCAAACATAGCATAAATGTATTGATTATGTACATTACATTTCAGATCCACACTGGGTGTTATCATGCAGGTTTCTATGTGTTGATTGTGGAACTCACTGGAGAATGGTGGTTGAATGGAGATATCTTCCTGAACACTTACTGCTAGAAGGAAAGTGAGGGAGAAAAGGAAGAAACATTAACTTCCATTTATCAGCAGTGGACACATCATAAAGACTTCACAAACAACACAACCCTTTTTTTTTTTTTTTTTTTTTTACAGTATTGGCAATCAAATGGTGCCGCCATATGGTCTAACCAACGCAAATTACCATTATCTAAGTATCATAGGTACTCTTGAAGTCCTGCATTTCATAATTTGGGACAAAAGCAGAAGTAAAAGACTGCAGAACATAGAAGGCAACAGCTACACAAACAGTTGCCATGACAAAATATGAAACATCAAAGTCCTAAACAAATTTTTACAGCGATTATATGTTAATGAATAACATGAAAGGGCCAGAGACTGAATAGTTGTCATTAAGTCAAACTAAAACTTCCTGGAAAAAAATATAATAGGCAACAGGACTTTGTATACAGTATTTTTCACACTGCAATTCCTGTTAAGCAAAATTTAAACTTGTTTATTTCAGTAAGGCTGTAGTAAATACAGACGTGCACAGACACATCCCAGGGGTGACCATGTTTTACTTACTGTCAGGGGTAAAGGTGGAGATAGATTTTGTTGTGTGTTCTCATACACAGGTGATGGGTTCTCTACACAGGTGATGGGTTCTCACACACAGGTGATGGTCTCACACACAGGTGATGGGTTCTCATACACAGGTGATGGGTTCTCATATACATTTTTTTGAGAGCCTTTAAGATATACACAAAGAGCTGATTGTATAGTCGCTGCTATCTTGTTTGCATGTGTCTGCATACACATGTTACAGTATTAAGCATCGTCCCCAGTGGTGTTTGTAATATATCATGTCATTTGTCTGAATCCATTTCATTCTTCCATGGAAACTGCAAATCACTCTGGATAGGAGCATCTGCTAAATGACCATTTTAATGAAATGGAGAAAACAAATGTTTTAGAAACATGATTAATTATATGATTGGAGATAAAGCATATGCTTACCTCCTCGATGCATTGGGTCAGCATTGCTTCTATATACAACAAGAAATAAACATTGAAAGGTATAAGGAAATATATTACAGTGCTTTTAACAGTTTACAGTGAAGTTATAAGAACAAAATATTACAATGCTTTTAAAAGTTTACAGTGTTTTGAAATACACCCGGCCCTTTTTCTGACCAGTTTCGATCAATGTGAAAACAGAGCCTATATTGTCTACTACCTGCAGTGATAGAAAATACACTCGTATAAATGAAAAGTTACTTAACTCACCCCTTTTTCTTGATGAAATAGACTGCCAACACTAACTGCCACTTCCAGAACCAGCAACACTAAAATCACAATCCCAGTGATGGCACCAGCAGACAGTCCTGGAGTTAGGGGAGCCATCCGCTGCAGAGACCAGAGATAGAACCATACACAGATTAGAGAAAAGGGTACACACAATGAACAATCAGTACTGCACATTACAGTGCATCTGGGTGACAACACAATAAACACAACTAAAGGCACTATTTCAAAACAAGTTTGGAATGCAAAACTTCATAAGTATAACTTTTTTTTTCTACTAACACTGACTTTTTTGATAGTTACTTTATTGAGAAAAATGTACTTACATACTGAGATATTTGGTTATCCCACATAGCTTTCTTAATGCACTAATTGTAAGTCGCTCTGGATAAGAGTGTCTGCTAAATGGCTAAATGTAAATGTACTTTTATCTCTTACTATGTTCATATTGTCTTAAAGATTCTGTTACTTTACCTTTTACGGACAGTTTATGGGACCTCAGATGTGTTGTTCCCAGTGACATCATTTGTTGCTGTACAGGTGTAATCCCCACTGTCAGAGTATTCACTCTTCTCTTAGGGAACTCAGGTGAATGTCCAGGTATCTCTGTTCCATTGAGGGATCCAGATGTAACTAGCAGGGGGTTGGAGTCAGCAGAGCAGGTCAATGTTAACTTCTGTCCTAGTTCTATTTCAGTTGGACCCTTGATTCCATACCATCAGGTCCATCTGTAACACAGCGATCACCAGTTAGTCATAGCTACAAGTTTATTAGTTTGTAATCAGTGTGACATTGGAGTCATAATGGTTGGTGTAAAGTGTGTGTTCATTCATTGTTATATTATTTTCATGTGAAACCTGTTGATGGTACAGTTGGTACATTTACCTGGTACATTTATCTGGTACATTTATCCCCAGGTTTATAGGGAAGTACTTACAGATTACATTCACAGTGTCACTGGCATTTTCAGAGCTGACAGGGTTGCTGACTCTACACAGGTATTCTCCACTGTCTGTCTTCTTCTTTATGGACAGCACTCTCTTATCCTCAGATAAGATGATATTATCACCAGAAGACAGAGGCTGACCATCATTCATCCACTCTCTGGTGATGTTGAAGCCAGCAGCATCACAGGTTAAGGTGACAGAGCCCCACTCGATGATTGGTGGGTTTGGGGTAATTGTGATAGTAGCACCAGATACTGTTCTGTGAAAAGAGTACAAGGTGAGATAATACTAATTAATGTGGTTTGGAAATTAAGAATAGGAGAAACAGGTTCGTTTTAAAGTTCATGTTGCACATGGTTGAAAAAGTACCTAACTGTCATACTTGAGTAAAAGTAAAAGTCCCTTAATAGAAACGTAAGTATCAAAAGTAGATGTAATTACTAAATATACTTAAGTATCAAAAGTAAAAGTAAATCATTTCACATTCCTTATATTAAGCAACCAGACGGCACAATTTTGTTGTTATTTTAATTTACGGATAGCCAGGGGCACACTCCAATACTCAAACATAATTTACAAACAAAGCATTTGTGTTTAGTGAGTCCGCCAGATCAAAGGCAGCAGGGATGACTAGGGATGTTCTTTTGATAAGTGCGTGAGTTGGAACATTTTCCTGTCCTGGTAACCCTTTGGTTTTAAAAAATTAATTTTTGGGTTAAAAAAAAATTGGGGGGAAAAAGAACCACTTTTCCCCCTAAATTGGGGTTAAAGTTCCCCCCTTTCAAAATCAAATAACAGTACCAAAAAAAAAGAACCCCCGGGGGGGTAGTAATTGAAAGAGGGGGAACCAAAAAAACTTACCCATATTTTAAAAACCCCATGGCCGGGCCGGGGAAAAGGCCTCGGTCCCCCCCGGTTCCCGGGGCGCCCCGGGGGGCCCGTCAAATTTTTAAAAATTTTTTGGGATTTTCCCAAAAGAAATTGGCTGTTATAGGTTAATTTGCCTAAATTTTTTTAAAAACCCCAAAACCCAAACCCGCTGTTTGGGGAAACAAAGAATCTTAATTTGCAATTCCATTTTTCCAAAGCCCATCCCTGTAAAAACGGGGGTTTAAACTTTAAGCTTTGGGCTTTTTTTCTAAAACCCGCTTCCGTGAAAGGGAAAAATAAAACCATTAAACTTTTAAAAATTTTTTATAAAATTTCCCCCCAAGGGGGCCATTGAAAAAATTTTCTTCTTTTCCAAACTTTTTACAATTTCCCCAAAACCAAAAAAACCCCCCCAAAGGAATCCTTTCTTAAAAAAAGGTCCGGTTTTCCTAGGCTGTCCCCCCAAAAAAAACCCCCTTTTGGGGGGATGTAAACCCCGGGGGTTGCCCAGGAAACCCCCCAAAAAATTTGTTTTTCAAAAGGGTTTCCATTGGGGTGGGAAAACCCTTTGAAGTTTAAGCCCCCTTTTTTTCTTAAAAGGGGGTATAAAAACCATTTTTTGTTTTGGGCCCCCCTTATTTCCACCCCATTTTAAATTTTCAAAAAACCAGTTTTTTCCCCTTCTTTTTTTTCCTTTTTGGCGGGCTTTGGAGTTTCCTTTAAAATTTGGGGGTTTTCCCACTTTTTTTTAAAATTTTTGGGAAACTTGGCCAAAAAAAAAATTGGGGCCTACTTAAAAATACTTTTTTAAAAACCCCCTTTAAAATTCTTTTGGGCTGTGAGACGTTTAAAAAAATTCACTCTGAAAAATTAAAAAGGCCTGGCAAAAACAATCTGTTTTCTTTTAAATTTATTGTAAAAATCATGTTTTTTTGGTGCTGAAAGGGAATTGGACTATTAGTATTTTTTTAAACTAAAAACCCCTTACTAAAAAAAATAAATGACCCGGGCCCCCCCTCCCAGAAAAGCAGCCCCCAAACCACCCGGCCTGCCTTTCCCGGCCGGGGGGGCCCTAAAGGGGGAAACCACGAAAACCCGCGTTCATTGTTTTTATAAAAAAAAAGCAACACCCCCAAACCCAAATTCCAGGTTTTAAAAATGAAATCAAATAATATATTGCACTGTATATTTTTTGGGCCATGTTTTACGTGGTCAAATATTTTTATTTTTTTGATTTTTGGTAAAATCATTTTAAAAACCTTTTTTTAAAATGTTTTGTCAGGAACAGGGGGGGTCCCTGGAGGGGGTCCCCAAAGGTTGGGGGTCAATTCCATTTAATTCCATAAATTCAGAAGCCCTTTAAATTTTTTCCCAAATTCCCAATTCTCCTTCCAGGGTTTTTCCAATTAGTAAAGGGGAATTTTTAAATTTGGGGTTTGGGTTCATTTTTAAAAATTTGACTGGAATCAAAAGGGAATTGACCCCAACCCTGGGGGAAAACACCCTGGCCCTCGCACTAGTTTCTGTTTCTGACCTTTGGATCATGATGTATGATTGCCCAAGGTTTTCCATCAAAAAAAATTTTTTAACTAAAACCATTAAAAAAGGTAACTGAAATTTTAAACAAAAGCACATTTTTTTTTTTTGTTTTAAAATTTTTTTTTAGGGTTTGGAAGTCTTTAATTCACATTAGTTGACAACTAAATTTCAATATAAAATGCACTTTTAAACTTTCCCTGACATTTTTTTGGAACTAAAGGGGGTACTCACCAAAAACTTTCCCTAAGTATTTTCCAACTGCATAAAACCCCGACTCCCCTTGTTTCACCCCCCCCCCTGTTTCTCCACTGTCAGCCGGGGGCATTTTTCCTGAGCTCCAAGATCCATTTGCTATTGCCCAGACTATCCTACCCATACCCCCCTCGGAAAAAGGCCTTTAAACTGAAAAGCCCAAAAATGGTGAGGGGGGATCACCAAATTTTTCCAAAGAGTTTGGGAAACCAAGTGGGGTTTGGGAAAATTTGTTTGGGGGTTTTTTGGAAAAACCCCAACATTTCCCCCCCAAATGTTCCATTCACGGGTCCGGGGGAAACCCCTTTCAACCACACAATACCCTTTAAGGAAACAACAACGGGGCTTGAAAACTGTCCCCAAAAACCCAAAAAACAAAAGCGTAACAAAGCCATAAGGGGAAAACTTTTTAAAAAAGTTCTTAAACTTTTTTAAAAAAAAATTATTTTATCAAAAACCTTTTTTTGGAACCACTATGGAAACCACTGGGCCTAGGGGAAATAACTTTTTTTTGAAGCAAATATTAACACTTTGTCACCCCCTAAAAAGGGTTTATTTCCCCCCAAATTACTAAATGCCCTATTGGTTCTTTCCATTAAGCCATCTAGGGAAAAAGGTCTAACGCAATCCGTTAAACATTTAATTAAATGTGTATGCCCTTAGAGAGGATATGAAAAAATTGAAACTACGCCCTTTTACTTTAAAAACCCCCCTGCTATTTATAAAGAAAAATTTCCTACTGTCATGGGAGGGAGAAAAAATAAAATTAAACACGAATTAATGGCCCCTAAATTTTAAAAGGGATCTAAAAGGGGTTTTGGGGAAATTAATGAAATTTTTTACCCCTTGGTGTCAAATTACCCCATTTTGGTGTTTTTTAAGTAAACCCTATGTGGGGCTGTTTTTTTATTGAGGGCACCCAAAAAGGGCTAAACCTGAAGTTTTTCCCTTTGTAAAAAAGACGCCTGCACTGCCACCATCTCTTCTGTATCAAATGTCTTTTGGGTTTCGATTTGTTTTTCCTTCTCTAAAAAAAGTATTCCCTAGGAGACAGGGCTTCAATAAAGCGGTCTACAGTAAAACCAAAACCGGGAAAAGAAAATTTTAAAAAAAAGTTTTTAAATTTTTTTAAAAAAAAAAAACCCAAACCCCTTTTAAAAAAAACCCCCCCCCTTTAAAAAATGGGGGTTTTTTTTTCCCCTTTTTTTTTTTTTTGGGGGTTTTTTTTTTGGGTTTTTGGTTTTTTTAAAAAAAAGATAAAATTTTTTAAAAAATTTTGGTTTTTTCCCCTTTTTTAAAAACCCCCGGGGGGAAAGGAAAAAAACCCCCTTTTTTTTTAAATAAAAAAAAAAATTTCTTTTTAAAAAAAAAAAAAAAAAAAAATTTTTAATTTTTTTTTTTAAAAAAGGAAACCCCCGGGTTTTTGTTTTTAAAAAAAAAAAATTTTTTTTAAAATTTTTTTTTACTTTTTTAAATTTTTTGGGGGGAAAAAAAAAATTTTTTTTTAAAAAAAAATTTTTTTAAAAAAAAAAAAAAAAATTTTAAAAAAAATTTTTTTTTAAATTTTTTTTCCCCCCCCGGGGGAAAAGGTTTTTTGGGGGGGTTTTTCCGAACCGGGGGGGGGGAAAAAAAAAAAACCAAAAAAAAAAATTTTTTAAAAAAAAAGGGGGGCCCCCGGGGGTTTTTTTTTAAAAGGGTTAAAATTTTTTTTTAAAAAAAAAAAAAAAAAAAGGGGGAAAAAAGGGGGGGTTTTAAAAAAGGGGGGGTTTGGGAAAAGGGGGAAAAAATTTTTCCCCCCTTTTTGGCCAACTAACCCCAAAAAAATTTTTTTTGGGGGTGGGGGGAAGGGCCCGGGGGGAAAAAAATTGGGGAAAAGGGGGCCCCCCCAAAAAAAAAAAGGGGGAAAAAATTTTTTAAAAGGGGGAAAAAAATTTTAAAAATTTTTTTCCCCCCCCCAAAAAAAAGGTTTTAAAAAAGGGGGGGGAGGGGCCCCTTTTTTAAATTTTTTAAATTTTGGGGGAAAATTAAACCCCGGGAAACCCACCCCCTTTTTTCCCCCCCCGGGGGGCCCCCCCAAAGGGGGGGGGGAAAAAAACCCCCCCCCCCGGGGGGGAAAATTTTTTGGGGGGAAAGGGGGTGGGCCCAAAACCCAAAAAAACCCCCCCATCCTTTTTGGGGGGCCCCCCCAAATTTTCCCCCCCCCCCCCCCAAAAGAAAACCCGGGGCCTTTTTCCAAAAACCCCTTAAAAAAAACCCAAAAAAATTTTTTTAAAAAAAACCTTTTTCCTTTAAATTTCCAGGGCAAAACCCCTTTTTTCCCCCTTAAAAGGGGGGGGCCCCCCAAAGGGGTTTTTGGGGAAAAACCCCTTTTTTTTTGGGGGGGGGAAAAAAAAATTTTTCCCCTTTTTAACCCCCAAAAACCCCTTTTTTCAAAGCAAACCCCAAAACCCAAAAAAAAAAAAAAAAAATTTTTTTTTTTGGGGGGGAAAATTTTTGGGGTTGGGGCCCCCGGCCCTTTCGGGGGGAAAAAAAAAAATTTGGGGGGGGGGGCCCCCCCCCCCCGGGGGGGGGAACCAAAAATTTTAAAAAAAAGGGGGCCCTTTTTTTTCCTTCCCCCCTTTTAACCCCAAGGGGGGTTTGGGGGCCCTTTTTTGGCCCCAAATTTTTTGGGGGGGGGGGGGGAAACTTTTAAAACAATTTTTTTTTTAAAAATTTTTTTAAAAAAAAAAAAATTTTTCTTAAAACCAAATTTTTTTGGGGGGGTTTTTTTTAAAAAAAAATTTTTGGGGTTTTTGGGGTTTTTTCAATTAGTTTAGGGGGAATTAATAGATAGGGTGTAATGTTTTTCATGAAAAATGGATGTTTTTTTTAGTTCAAGAGGGAATGTTTTAGGTGTAACCCCCATAACAGCCCGAAGTGTGTTGAGACAGGGGAGACTGGTGATTGGCCAAGAAGGGACATCATTGTTTATAAATAGGGGGAAAAAACGAGGAGAGGCAGGCGACAGCCATTCTGAGGCGTCATCTCCGGGTGTCATGTCACCTGTCACTCATGTGAAGCTTGTGGTCTGAATAAACCTTATGATCAACGTTCGTATGAGCAGACTCCTTTGTTCATCAGCAAAAATTTGGCCACCACTCACTCGATACGACAAAGACCCTTTCTCTCCCAGCAGCAGCCAGCCCCAGCCAGGCAGCTGCCAGTCCCAGGCCCCAGGGGGGCCCTCAAGGGGGTACAGTGACAGACAGCTGTACATGCTTTAAAAAATAAGCAACCCCAGCTCAGACCAATTCCGGGATTTAATGAAATCGTATAATATATTGTACTAATATACATTTGCCATTTTTTACAGTGTCAAATAATGTTTTTTGGTACATCATCGTTGAAAATGTTTATTAAATGTTTATATGCAGGAACCAGGGGGCCCCTAGGTGCGTGGGCCCTGGGGTGGTCACCAGGGTTGCGGTAAATTCCATTTAAATTCCAGTAAATTCAGGAAGTAACACTTAATTTTCCAATTCCATTCTCTTCCATGGTTTCAATTAGTAAAAATGTAAATTTGAATTGGGAGTTTGGTTCACTTTTTAAATTGACTGGAATCTAAATGGAATTGACACCAACCTGGTGGTAACACCCATGGCCCTCGCACTAGCTCTGCTTCTGACCATGGATCATGTATGTAGTAGAGTGTCAGAGATATCCCATCAAATAAATTGTAACTCCACCATTAAGACTAGAGTAACTGCATTTCAACAAGCACATTGTGTTTTTTGTTTTATATTGTTTTTATGGATGGAAGTACATTATATTCACATTAGTTGACAACTCAATACAATATCAATGCACATTTAATATTCAGTGACATCTTTTGGAACTCAGGGGGTACTCACCATAAACATTCAGTGAAGTATCTGCCAACTGCATAAAATCAGACTCTCCTATGATCACTCTGTATTCTCCACTGTCAGCCAGGGTCAGTTTCCTGAGCTCCAGAGATCCAGTGCTATTGTCCCGACTGATCCTACCAACATATCCCGCTCTGATCACAGGACCTTCAGAACTGAGAAAGTCAACATGGTGACAGGGGGATCACCAAATGTCCAGAGATTGCACTAAGTGTGGTTGGATTGATGGTGGTTTTTGAAAATCACATTTCCTCCCAATGTTCCATTCACAGGTCCAGGTGGAAGCACTTCTAGACCAGCACAATATCCTGAGGAAACAACAACAGGGCTTGATATCATGTCTCCAAAACAAACACAAAATGCTGTAATCAAAGACATAAGTGGAAACATTTTCAAATAAGTTCTTAAACGCTCTTATAAAATAATTATTTTATCAAGAACATTTTTGAAGGCCACTATTGGAGCCACTGTGCCATAGTGGAAATAACTATATTTTGTGAGAGCAAATATTAAGCAAGCATTTGTCACCCACCTGAAAGGGATAGTTCACCCAAATTACTAAATGACATATTGGATTCTTTACCATGTAAGCCATCTATGGACAAGGTCTGACAGCAATCCGTTAAACATTTAATTAAATGTGTATGCCCTTAGAGATGGATATGAAACATAATTGAAACTACGTCTATGACTATTGACAAAGAACCTGCTATTTATTGAAGGACAATTCCTACTGTCATGGGAGAGGAGAAGAATATATTACATTAACACAGAATTGATGGTCCTAAAATTTCAGAAGGATCGTGAAAGGGTTTGGAAATAATGACATTTTTTACCCCTTGGTGTCAAAATTGACCCCATGTTGGTGCTTTTAGTGAACCTATGTGTGGCTGTATTTTATTGAGTGCAGCAGATAAGGTCTCACCTGAGAGTATTCCCATGGTAAGAAAGACGACTGCAGCTGCCACCATCTCTTCTGTATCAAATGTCTGTGATTCAGACTGTATTTCTGTCTCTACAAATAAGTATTACATAGGAGACAGGGCTTCAATAAAGCGGTCTACAGTGACACCAAAACCTGAAATGAAATATTGAGATAAAATGTTTTCATGAGTTACATCACTGCATGAAGGAACAAATGACCAAACTCCACTATTGGAACACTACAATCCACCTCCACTAATACTAATAAGGAAGCTGTGGGGGAGGGGTTACATTCACTGAGCCTGTTGCCCTCTATTGCTTTGGAAGCTTTGACTGATAAACGTGGACTTTGGTCTTGAGGTATTTTCTGATAATAGATTATATATTCTATATCTAATAAAAGTTAGTGCTTTATACTCCTTCTCTAACATTGACATCACTGTAGGGTCACTTTAGAACCAACACCCAGCTTTGTATGAATGAATGAACTGAATGTAATTAGGTCATATCAACATACTCTGGTCACACTTGACACAAAGAACAACAGTTGATGGAGAAAAGTAATCGTTATTATTAATTCTGTTTTTCAATCATGTAAAGCAATACATTACTCCAGCTTCCTTCTTTGACTCCACACTTCACAATACAGTGTTCTATAAATACTTTGATGATATACATCATAGTTAACATTACATCCCACATGCTTATCAGTTTACGTATCGTGTAATTACTTTATTAAAGTTTTGTTTCAAACTGATAAAGTACACAAAAGAGATTAGCAAACACAGATATATTTATTCTATGATTATATACAATTTCACACGGGTGTTATCATGCGGTTTCTTGTTGATGATGATTTACTGACTCTGATGGTGGAAAGACCAAACTAAAGAACAGATTTATATATTAAATTGACCATACGGTTCTAGAATGTGCCAATGCTGATCAATTTTACAAATGTGTGTAATATCTTTAATGAAACTGCCTAAATAAACAAAAACTACACAGTCAGGTTGGTAATTGTCATTCTAGAGTAGGATGACAAGGTTGTGATTTCACTGAAGTTGTGCCGTCTCTTGCACTCTGTAAGGCATAAGGCCATAAGGTGGCCTTTCTTTCATCAGATAGTGCAGGTTTAAGAAGAATTGAGGGCAGATTTCCTCTATCCCCCCACAACATGTGAATGTCCAATAATTCCTAGCCGTAAAACAATCTCTCAATCGGTTACCTAAGTTATTTATCTTAAAATCATCATATTGTTGACATTTACTTATTGTTAAGTTACCAAGCTATTAGGTGAGATCGTTGTTGTCTCACTTTCTTAGTTTCAATTTTGGTTTACTATGAAAACTAGACATTAAAGCAGTTATCAACAAATATTTGGATAGCCTTGTCAGTCCAATGGGTGTTATGGGCAGGGTTGGGCATTGTCATCTCTAGTGTGTGTGGTTTGGTATACTGAAGTTTTGACACGTTCTGGGCTTGCACTCTGTAACTGGCCACTACGGCCATATAGGGGGCCTTTTCCTATCTATGCAGTGGTGGTGTGACATTAGTGTGAGAGTTATTCAGAGATGTGTGTGGGAAATGTATGTCTGCATCTTTCTCAAAGGCTTTTCAATTATGTTGTTCACACCATGAGAAACTGGCGATCCCTTATTGCAGGGTTTCACAAACTCAGTCCTGGGGCAACCCCTTGGTGCACGTTTTGGTTTTTTACCCTACAGTACACAGCTGATTAAATAATCAAACTTGATGGTGAGCTGGGCAGAAGGACTGAACTCTGTTGAGCAGGACATAGTGAGGTCTGACCAGAGACATTAGCGAAGCGAGACACCCCACTACCTCATTTGTTTTAGGTCAGGGTGGGGCCACTCTGGTCTACTTATGCCCCCGCCACACGGGCCCATCTACACAGACAGGAACCTTGACCATTTTTTCCAATGGTAAACTGCATGAGTAAGACATCTTCATTTATCCACCATGTTTGTTCTGACCCTGATCCATACAGTACATCTACTTTTAAATTATCGACAGATTCAAACCAGCGACCTTTCGACCTTTTGGCCCAACGCTCTTAACCACTAGCCTACCTGCCGCCCTAAAGGGGTCTAGAGGGGTTATCTAAAGGGGTCACCTTCATTGTGGTGTTTTCTGAACCTTATGCGACACATTTGAAAACCATTGTAAGCCCAATAAAACATCAATGTCCAATCAATGTCATGGTCAAGACCAAGAGGCAAAATTCAACCAGCTATAGTGTTCAACAAGTGTAGGTCATATGAGCCTGTAGAATAACTTGAGGAGTAATTGGATAAAACATACAGTTGCATACAGTTTGTTAAAGAAAATGGACTCACAGCTGATAGTGAGGGTTAGAGGCTGGCTGGTTCCATTACTGACGGGGTCGAACCAATTATATGTATTAATCCTAGATGACTGACAAGGGGGCCGCTGTTTTGAAACCATTGCGCAGGCATTTTGGTACTCCTCCATAGTAAAACATATTTTGGAAGCTATATAAATCCATTTATTATTGTCTACATTCATTTTTGACAAGTATATTCTATTTCAGACACCTTAATGCATACTTTTAAATTATATTATGTGAATTGAACAACAACAAAAAAGTATATAAAACATATTACTTAAAGGAATTTTTTGGGAGAGTACTAAGGTTACTGTCTCCACTACAACAAATAAATACTTAAATACATGTAATTTTGTCCTTGAAACATTTTATTGAAATACTGTAGATTTCCATTCATTCCTATGGAGGATTACTCCTTCTGAGGAGTTCCAATATGGTGGCAGGTGGATTCAAAGCCTCTCATTGGCCATTACATGGCATCAATAATCCAGGGTTCATACACATCATTGGGTTGAACACGGTACAGCTGAATGGTCCCGGGTCATACCAGGTCACACTGACTATGGTGAGAGTTTCCATCAACAAGCTGAACTCCATCACTGGCTGTGACCTCAGAGCTGCCATTCAGCCAGCGGTAAGAAAGGGAGGAGGCAGAGGAGGAGCAGGACAAACTGACATAGCTGTTGAACTCCACTAAATCTGTGTTATAGGGAGTTATCACCATGTTGCAGACTCGCTCTGTGGGTTAAAAACATAATAACTACCTTCTCTTTGCGTAGAAGACAATTTCTGAAGAATGTACCTTTTCTGAACACATTGTTTCATCATACACTACTAACTAAAATGAATGAGATCATTGGAAACAAATGAGGTGGAGAAATGGCACTGTGCCCAGACAACTGACTGGATTTGAGAAACAGCAGCTCATTAAACTGTAAATGACAAACAGCTACACCCTCACATGGCCTGAACATATACAATCTATACAGATTCTTGGATGTTTCTGATTTCATCACAGAGGGAAAGTGTACTTTATTTTAAAACCATTTCCTACATTTCCTAGATCTAAATCAGTAGTACTTACCATATACCTCCAGTCTTGTTTCCCCACTCAGCAGTGATCCTTCTTTAAGAAAAGGCTTACTTTGTATTTTGTACCCGTCAACGGGGCCAGGTCCCTGAGTTCAAGAGATCCAGTGGTTTTGTCCAGAGTGATCCTGTCTTCATATCCAGGCCTGATGTTGTCATGAGTGATGGTACGATGATTACATTGAGGTCACGTTCTCCTCTGGATCAACCGTTGTGGTGAATGTGACATTTTCTTTTACCTCAGCAACCATCTGGTACCATAACAAGACCCCAGAGAGACAACAACAGAACAGATTTGGGTATTTCTTCATAATGTATGTTACATGCACATGACAGGAGTGATCCTGTCACTGTATCCCAGTTCATTGGTGTCAGAGGACAAGTTATTATATTGGTACCAATAACTTTCAAGGCTACTGATGTAAATGGATGAGATGTTAGCATATTGTGGTTTACATTCTCTCCTACAGCTTAATGTACAGCTTCAGAGGGAAACATGTTGGCTTGCCCGAATGATGGTAATTATAAATAATTAATTGAGTGTCCTTTTTTATTATGAGTCAAACAGCAGTCCATGAAGTCAGTCAATTAAAGGATGACATTATGCAGAAGCAAATTGTTAGATCAAGGTTATCAACAGTCCTAGAAGATGTAGATGATAGCCCTGACACCTTACTCTCCCCTGTCCTTATGTAAACAATTCAATGTCCCTCTTTGACTTCCTTCTTCTGTAATTTGCTGAGAACAGCAGGTAAAAACTCACCTGTGAGTATTGCCATGGTGAAAATGATTACTGCAGCTGCTTCCGTGTCAAGTGTCTCTGAAAAAAGAGTGAATCTGCCAATAATTTACCATGGCGAGGATGAAGTGTCATTCAGTACAGGGACTAATTGGGTAATTTGATGGTTACATCACAAAGAGTTGGGTTATTTGATCGTTACGTCACTGTAGATTCTACAGTGATGTAACCATCAAATAACCCAACTCTTTAGGAGTCCCTGTACTGAATGAACGGCAGTGTAGAACGCCAGCTCTGTAGTAATTTATTCACTGAATGTCAGAAGGTCACATCCACATGATGTATGGCAACAAAGAATTAGTCTCTTATCAGAAGAAGCTCTCCACATAGAAAAGCCGGAATATCATAAACTAACAATATATGAATAATCTTACAGCCATATACATTTACATTGTCAGAATTGTAGGTGTTCTTAACAATAAAGTGTTGGTATACTAATATTTATGTGAATCAATAGGGAATCTTTAGGTTATGTTTTAGGCTGGTAATTACACTTCACAGTACATTATTGGTCACACTTGACACGAGAACAAAATAATTGATGGAAAATATCTGGCAATGTTAATTAATGAGTTGCACCCCCCCTCTTCCCCTCAGAACAGCCTCAATTCATCGGGGCTTGGCTTACAACATGGAATAAAAATTGATTTTTTGGGGGTTTGTATCGTTTGATTTACACAACATGCCTACCACTTTGAAGATGCAACATATTTTTTCTTGTGAAACAGACAAGAAATAAGATAATAAAACAGAAAACTTGAGCGTGCATAGAGCCACCTTTTGCAGCAATTACAGCTGCAAGTCTCTTGGGGTATGTCTCTTTAAGCTTGGCACATCTAGCCACTGGGATTTTTGCCCATTCTTCAACGCAAAACTGCTCCAGCTCCTTCAAGTTGGATGGGTTCCGCTGGTGTACAGCAATCTTTAAGTCATACCACAGATTCTCAATTGAATTGAGGTCTGGGCTATGACTAAGCCATTCCAAGACATTTCCCCTTAAACCACTCAAGTGTTGCTTTAGCAGTATGCTTAGAGTCATTGTCCTGCTGGAAGGTGAACCTCCGTCCCAGTCTCAAATCTCTGGAAGACTGAAACAGGTTTCCCTCAAGAATTTCCCTGTATTTAGCGCCATGCATCATTCCTTAAATTCTGACCAGTTTCCCAGTCCCTACCGATGAAAAACATCGCCACAGCGTGATGCTGCCACCACCATGCTTCACTGTGAGGATGGTGTTCTCTGGGTGATGAGAGGTGTTGGGTTTGCGCCAGACATAGCGTTTTCCTTAATGGCCAAAATGCTCAACTTTAGTCTCATCTTCTTCCATATGTTGGGGGAGTCTCCCACATGCCTTTTGGCGAACACCAAACATGTTTGCTTATTTTATTTTTTTACCTCTTAAGGATCTGACCTTTTTTTTTCTCCAATTTTCGCCTAAATGACATACCCAAATCTAACTGCCTCTAGCTCATGACCTGAAGCAAGGATATGCATATTCTTGATACCATTTGAAAGGAAACACTTTGAAGTTTGTGGAAATGTGAAATTAATGTAGGAGAATATAACACATTAGATCTGGTAAAAGATAATACAAACAAAAAAACATGAGTTTTCAAAAAAATAAAAATATCATCTTTGAAGTGCAAGAGAAAGGCCACAATATAATATTGCAGTTTAGGCGCAATTTAGATATTGGCCACTAGATGGCAGCAGTGTGTGCGCAAAGTTTCAGATTGATCCAGTGAAGCATTGCAATACTGGACTATTTTGTATCAAGTCTGCCAAAATGTGCCGAATTGGTCAATTGATACATTTTCAAGTACATAACTATAGAGAACATACAAAAATGATATGGTAATACAAAATGTAAGTTTACACATGTCATACATGATGGATCATTAGCTTATACACTAACTTTCACACATCTAGATGGCCTAGCGGGCTGAGTGTGGAGCCAGAGACAGCAGGGGTTCAAACTGAAGAACCCAGTTCATACATTTGAATATAAAAATGGATTTTATCAAACAAAACTATGCTACATTTTATCTTTGGGACCCTTAGGATGACAAATCAGAGCAAGATTACTGAATGTAAGTACATTATTTACCTTCAGAGGTGAATGTATCAAACCAGTTGCCGTGATATGTTTTCTGTTGTTGTGCACTCTCCTCAAACAATAGCATGTATTTTTTCACTCTAATAGCTACTGTAAATTGGACAGTGCAGTTAGATTAACAAGAATTTAAGCTTTCTGCCCATATAATACATGTCTATGTCCTGGAAAGTTTGCTGTTACTTACAACAGTCATGCTAATCACATTACCGCACGTTAGCTCAACCGTCCCGTATATGGGACACCGATCCCGTAGAGGTTAAGCAATGGCTTTTTTCTGGCCACTCTTCCGTAAAGCCCAGCTCTGTGGAGTGTACAGCTTAAAGTGGTCCTATGGATAGATACTCCAATCTCCGCTGTGGAGCTTTGCAGCTCCATCAGGGTTTTCTTTGGTCTCTTTGTTGCCTCTCTGATTAATGCCCTCCTTGCCTGGTCCGTGAGTTTTGGTGGACGGCTCTTGGCAGGTTAGTTGCAGGTTAGTTGCAGTTGAGATCATGTGACAGATCATGTGACACTTAGATTGCACACAGGTGGACTTTACTTAACTAATTATGTGACTTCTGAAGGTAATTGGTTGCACCAGATCTTATTTAGGGGCTTCATAGCAAAATAGTTATTTGGAAAAAAGTATCCCTTTGTTACCGAAGGTTTTGCCGCCCAAAAACTTCAACATCCAACAATGAACACTGGGACAATATATTTCAACATCCGAATGTTGGGAATGATGAGAAATTGAATATGGAAAATTAATGTATTTTTGTGATGTCATTAAAAATGGTATAAAGGCGTTATAACGAAAACGTTGTAACTTGAATAGCTTTTACACTGTGTATATCAGGTTTACATACTTTACGTTGTGTAGAAAATATCAAGGAGGAAGACAATTTTTTCGTGAAGATAGGAATGTGATTTTTGCTTTCTAGCAAGATCATAGTGATGATGATATTTTGCCTCGTAACTAGCCATGCACGAGGGAGCAAAGAGAGCGTGTCAGTATGACGGAAATTCCCCTTTTACACCCGAGGGTATAAAAGATTGAGTTAAGAATTAACATGCCAGACCAGACGGACTCAAGCTGCAGCTTTTATTTCCATTGGTTACGACCCTGAAAGTCAACACGAGGTGAAGACGACAAAGTCGCCTCTCTAACAATCAATGTTACAGCTGAGTAGCTGTTCTAAGTACTGTATCTAAGAAGGTGAATTTAAATGGGACCATCCTGTTACTCTCTTCAAACCATCGTCTGCTACACTGCTTTCATCACCCCACTGGGGATTATCGACATGGCTGATTAGCTGTACTCAGAAGACCACTTCCAGAAGGAGTGAAAATAAAAGTCCTGTGTTATCATTTAGTTTGGTAGTAAATAAATAATCAAATCAATTTGTGTGGTATGGAATGATCAGTAAGACTCGGGTTTGTGCAGATTCAAGAAGTCTGCGACGTTCAGAATTAGACTGATATGAGTGCTCTTTCATGCCGTCCCTGGGAGGGGTGCGTCACTTGAGTGGGTTGAGTTACTGACGTGATCTTCCTGTCTGGGTTGGCGCCCCCCCCTTGGTTTGTGCTGTGGTGGAGACCTCTGTGGGCTATACTCGGCCTTGTCTCAGGATTGTAAGTTGGTGGTTGGGGATATCCCTCTAGTGGTGCGGGGGCTGTGCTTTGGCGGAGTGGGTGGGGTTATATCCTTCCTGTTTGGCCCTGTCCGGGGGTTTCTTCGGATGGGGCCACAGTGTCTCCGGACCGCTCCTGTCTCAGCCTCCAGTATTTATGCTGCAGTAGTTTATGTGTCGGGGGGCTGGGGTTAGTTGGTTATACCTGGAGTACTTCTCCTGTCTTATCCAGTGTCCTGTGTGAATTTAAGTATGCTCTCTCTAATTCTCTCGTTCTCTCTTTCTCTCTGAGAACCTGAGCCCTAGGACCATACGTCAGGACTACCGGGCATGATGACACCTTGCTATCCCCAGTCCGCCTGGCCTTGCTGCTATTCCAGTTTCAACTGTTCTGCCTGCGGCTACGAAACCCCTACCTGTCCCAGACCTGCTGTTTTCAACTCTAAATGATCGGCTATGAAAAGCCAACTGAGAGACCAGAGCCCTAGGACCATACGTCGGGACTACCGGCCGTGGTGACTCCTTGCTGTCCCCAGTCCGCCTGGCCTTGCTGCTATTCCAGTTTAAACTGTTCTGCCTGCGGTTATGGAACCCCTACCTGTCCCAGACCTGCTGTTTTAAACTCTAATGATCGGCTATGAAAAGCCAACTGAGATTTATTCCTGATTATTATTTGACCATGCTTGTCACTTATGAACATTTTTGAACATCTTGGCATGGTTCTGTTATAATCTCCACCCGGCACAGCCAGAAGAGGACTGGCCACCCCTCATAGCCTGGTTCCTCTCTAGGTTTCTTCCTAGGTTTTGCCTTTCTAGGGAGTTTTTCCTAGCCACCGTGCTTCTACACCTGCATTACTAGCTGTTTGGGGTTTTAGGCTGGGTTTCTGTACAGCACTTCGAGATATTAGCTGATGTAAGAAGGGCTATATAAAATAAAATTGATTGATTGATTGATTGATGAGATAAATGATTAATAAGTAACTGTTATCGATATCTATATATTATTGAGTATAATTCGGGAAATGGTAACTCGTTAAACGATATCAGTTAACATCCTTTGGATGAACATTCTACATAACCACGGAATTGATTGCATCACAATACCAGGCAATCATTGCAAGTGTACCCAAGAGTTTACCAGTCAAATTGCTAGAGTTAGAGATTCCAAGCCGTTTCTATTCATTCTATTTCTATGTCTGCTGCTGCTGCATTGTGGTCATTTGTCACGGTTTCGGCCGAGGCTGCTCCTCCTCC